GACTCAAGACTGAACCTTGAAGCACACCAGTAGATGGCCAAAAGGGAGGAGAAACAGTATTACGAAGCAATACAGAAATGGAGACATCGTCAAACATATTGGCAAGTAACGAGACAAGACCAACAGGAGCAGAAACAGACAAAAGAGAATTCCAAATCACTCTTCGATCCACAGTGTCATAAGCAGCCTTGATATCCAAGAAAGCAACTACAGGCCAGTGATGATGCACACGAAAGTACTCCTTCATAAGGTCATGCAAGCAGAGGGCCTGATCCAGAGCACTTCGTTGCGGTCGGAAACCACCTTGAGCTACGTCCAAAGGAGGAGAGACAAGAGAAAGAAAAGGAGCAAGACACATTTCAAACAACTTACGAACGATAGAAGTAAGTGAGATTGGTCTGAAGTTGGACGGGACAGAAGGATCACCTTTCTTGTGAATAGGCACCACTTGAGCCTCACGCCAAAGAAGAGGGGTATAAGACCACTGGTAGCAGAGAGCGAAGAGAGGAGAGAGAACCTTTGCAAGAGGCTTCTTGATGGGTATCAGCATCTCAGCACGCAGATGGTCAGAACCAGGAGCTTTTCTACGAGGTAGACACTTAATGTGACTAATGATGTTGTCAACACGAATGACCTCAGAGAAACCATCGTCATCAATAGCCATAAGATCACCAGGAGAGGAGCCAGAGTTACCACAAGAGGGTAAAGAGACAGAAAAGGGAAGAGAGTCAGGACTAACCTCAAGAGTAGGAGGACGAACAGAAGGAAGGGACGAACCAGAGTAAACAGAAGCAAGGTGGTCCCGCAAAGCGATTGCACCTGCCGAGTCACCATCCGGATGGACAAAGCCAGATTGTCGTTGCCTACGAGATTTGATCCGCTTTACCTTAGGAAGGACCACGGTACCAAAGTCATCTTTCTCGAGGGAGTCACAGAAAGCACGCCAAGAGACTTGTTTAGCCCGACGAAGGTCTTGCTTAAACTTTGCATGAGCTTCAACATGCATATTCCACCAGTAGATCTTGTCCATGGCACTACGAGAGTGTTTCCACCGACGATAATACCGTTCACGACGATCAGCAGCTTCTTGGAGGTCAGGAGTCCAGAACTTCTTCCAATGGGCCGGCCGTTGAGCACGAGCACCAACTGATTGATCCAGAGCCGTGTAAATGGCATCATTGAGCCGTTGATTGATGGCATCAATATCTGGGCGAGAACGGGGAGGAGAGGACACAAGAGCACGAAGATCTTGGACTAAAGAAAAGGCTAAAGAAGCAAACTTGTGATAGAAGAGATCACAGACATCAGGTTCTTTTAACCGGGACAGATTCCAGCAGCGACGAAAGCTTGACAAAGAAGCAGAAGAGGTAGTAGGGGAGGGATGAACCACAGAGGCTTGAGGAGGACAGTACTCAAAGGATAGAGACATAAGCTTATGGTCAGAGCCCAAAGACAGATCTGAAGCCACCGTTAAAGAAGCAGAAGGGAGAGAAGCATCATAGGGCACCAAGTTAGTGATAAAGTAGTCTACTATACTACTAACAGGACGACCACGACGAAAGTCAACAAGAGTGGGCACACCAAAGGACAAGTGTCGATTCAAGATGGACAAGTTGTTATCCATGCACCAGTCAAGAACCGTGGCACCACGAGAGTTAGAACCAGAGTCACCAGTAATATCACCAAGACGGGCATTGAGATCACCACATATGATGGTATCATGGGACAGAGGAAGAGAAGAAAGCACTGAAGACACATCCGAACATCTCATTGTAGGCTGGTCAGGCGGGAGATACAAGCAAATCAGACGCAAATGGCGACCAAGTTGAATACCAAGTGCGAACTGATTACCAGGGAGAGGTACTTCAAATGCGGGAAGAGGACAAGAAGGATTAACAAGACAACAGATACCTTGAGAGCCACGATAATCACCAGAGACTGGGACACCAGGAAGATGGAATTGTTGCCAAGTTGTTGGGAGACGACAAGGAGGGAGAAGCCAAGTTTCAGTGATAAACACCACAGAAAAGGACTGACAGAAACGGAGGACATCATCTATCGTTGATTCCCGAAGACCGCGAGCGTTCCACAGGCCGATAGTGAGTGGGATGGAGGAGGAGGCGGAAGAAGAGAGAGAAGGAGACAAAGGAGAGGAATGGGAGACAAGAAAAGGAGAGGAGTCAGGAAAGGCATTATTAAGAGGAGTGGTTGACGCACTCATTAATAATCCTCGAGCATTTCGGTGTCAGTAGGACCAGCAGCAAGAGAAGAGACAGAAAAGGAATCCACATCATCCCAGGAAGCAAGAGCATTACGGGGAGCCAAGAAGGTAAGTCCTCTTCAGAGATCCAACCTGATTCAGGTACTCACGAGCAACGGGAGCAAACAAGGGGCACGGTACTTAGCCAAGTACTGAAGAGACAAGATAGAACGTTGGTTCTGGAGGCGAAGAGCAACGTCCGAACGAGAGAGACATCCAAAGACTTGTACTTTGGGTCAGCAACATGAACAGGGTCCAAAGGATCAAAGTTTTGATGACGGAGACCTTGGCAGTGGACAAGAGTTGCTCAAACTCTTCTTGGAAACCCCTATGGATCAACAAGCCAATTATGTTGCGGGCAGGGAACGAGACGTCAATGATACGGCGAGGTTCGGCGCCGAGGAGACGGAGATTACGCCTTACTTCAGTCTTGGTGAATCGGCGGGAGCGGTTAATGTACACAGTTGTGTACCCAGTAGGACCTGTGACTTCATTGAAGCCACGTACAATAGCTTCACGGTGCTTAGGTGACGCCTTCTTAACCTTAGGAGTCTTTGGAGAACTCTTTGGGGCCTTTGGGGCACGGGCGGCAACAGTACTCCACATAGAGGCAGCAGTACCTTGGGCGGCAGGCAAGGCGGCAGGGGCGGCAGGGACTCCAGCGGGGGCTCCAGCGGGGGCTCCAGTGGGGGCAGCGGGACTGACCGAGGCTTCAGCCAGGCGGGCACGGAGGGCAGCATTTTCACGCTCTAGGTCTTGATTCTTGCTCTTTAATGAGGAAATTTGCTCCTCCATAGCAGCGAAACGTTCCATAAGTTTGTCATGCTCACTTACCCTTGCTGTTAGTACAGCAATTTGATTCATGATGGATGAGATGTCAACATTAGTGTTCATGCTCATTTCGTCTAATGGTGATTACGCAATTCCAATAATTAAAATTAAGAAATGGGCAGATGTTAACCGATTGACTTGAAATTGATATATATGATGCAGAAAAATTCAAGCTTTTTAAATTTGCAAAGATGTGGCTTGTGCGATGTCTAGTTCTCGAGATATTACGCGTCAAAGAGAAAAATAACGTAAATGTCGAGAAATGAATGTGAAAAAAGTGAACAAAAAGTGGTCGGATCGAAATAAAAAAAATTCAGTAGGTGAACCTTTTAAATATCTTTCGAATGGTGCTAGTTTGAGCGATGGATGACTTCTAGTTGTCGAGAAATAACGTGTTGAAAATCGACTTTTTATTAATCTGGGTTTAAAAACAACCAAAAAAATAAATAGCGGAAAGAAAGGGGGGATGTAGCTCAGGTTAAAGATTATATTTTATTTATAAGTAATTATATGGGCACTCTATAGAGCATTAGCCAAATTACATGAGCAAATTATATATAAAAACAAACAATATATACAAAGGAAAAAGTATAAAAAACCCCTGAGAAAACGAACAAGGGGAAAAAAGAAGAAGGGAAAAGGGAAAAGAGAATCAACAGACTAATTTGTATACTTGATGATCTAAAGGTACAACCAACGGATGGGAACTTTGATACGCACTTACCACCGTGGAGACGCAATTAGAAAACAAAAAGAAACATTTCATCAGCGACGAGAACAAGAAACAGACAACCATGAATCACCAGGATCGGGATCAGGAGCAATATGGGCTGACGGGTGACTTAGAGTATCAACCACGTACAGCAGAGAAAGTAAAGCCGACCAGAAAGGAGGAGGGCCAGAAGAAGCAGCAAGAGGGAGACAGTTAAGAGCATGATCAATCCGGTTGACACCAGGAGGAGAGACAGGCAACTGAGAGACCAAGGAGGAATCAACAGCACGACAGACCAAGATGTGATCACGGGTGAGCCTAGCACCAGAAGAACAAGGACACTCTTCATCCATGTTCGTAAAGCGACCGAGACGCCAGCGAACCAGTCGACTACGGGCAGTACGAGACATGGGGAGGTATAGGATGGGATCCGGTTGTGACACAGAAGGACGACAAGCACGGAGGAGGACGAACTTACCAGAGGTGGAAGCAGCTGACATTTGACGATCAAACTGTTCTTGCCAATGGGAGTCAAAGAGAGCCTTGAGAGCGGAGGAGGATACAGGCAGAGGATCTGGGAGCGAACGGTATAGCGAGTTCTCAGAGAGATACTTCACCAAGCGAGAGTAACGCAGGCTGTCTCGTAAGAGAACAACCAAGCAGTCATCCGCAAGAGACCGAGACCGAAGAACGTAGCGAGTCATCAGGACCTTATACCGGTGATGGAACGGAAGGATACAGGTAATGTGCTTAGCAACATTGACCCAGGAGCTACCCAAGAACATACCAACCAACTTATTTTGCAACTTGTCAAAGGCTTTTACATCCGAAGATGTCAAACGAGAGATGGCCAGGCCATACTCAAGTTTGGGCCGAATGAAGCAAGTATACAGCCGCGAGGAAAGGAGAAGAGAGAAACCATTACAGTTGACACCGACCGAGTTTAGCAGAGCCATAGTCTTGACAGCACCAGAGGACCGCAAAGCTAGGATACCAGGACCATAGAGACCTTTACCACGGAACGGGACACCAAGATAAACAAACTCGTCAACAGTCGGAAGAGGCTCGCCGTAAAGACGCAACCGAAAGTTGAACGAGGTGGAAGAGGTAACTGAAGGAGCATTAAGCACAGCACACTTGGAAGGATTCCAACGGTAGCCAAGAGAGAAAGAGTGAGAAGCAGCTAGATCCAACATCCTTTGCACTTCGTGCGACGAACCAAAGATAGCAACATCATCAGCAAACAGAAGGCAGTTGACCGGGAGTGGACTAGAGCGGGGCATACCAGGAGGACAAACCGAAGTAGTACTGGCAGAAGCAACAGACCGAAGAAGAGAAGGGAGAGAGTTAATGTACAAAGAGTACAGATGAGGACTCAGCACGGAACCTTGGAGGACACCAGTGACTGGCCGAAAGAAAGGAGAGGAATGGTTAGAGATCAGCACCGAGACTTGGACATCATCAAAGAGGTGAATCAGTAAACCTAGAATCGGGCGAGAGAGAGAAGAACGAGAGAGAGCATGCCATATAACGCGTCTGTCGACAGTATCATAGGCAGCTTTGATATCCAGAAAGGCCACAACAGGGTAATGGTGATGAGAGAGAAAGTAGTCATGCATTAGGTCATGCAAGCAGAGGGCCTGGTCGAGAGGACTACGTTGAGGACGGAAACCACCCTGTGCGACGTCCAGAGGGGAGATTGAGACAAGAGAACGGGAGCAAGACAGAACTCAAAGAGTTTGCGCATCACCGAGGTCAGAGAGATAGGACGGTAGTTGGACGGATCCAAGGGATCACCTTTCTTATGGATAGGGAACACCTGGGCTTGACGCCACACGGCAGGAGTGTAGCACCACTGATAACAGATCTGGAACAAAGAAGACAACACCGGAGCCAGGTCCTTAGCCACGGCCTTCAGCATTTCTGCTTTCAGGTGATCGCGACCAGGTGCCTTACGGTTAGGTAGTTGCTTGATCAGCCTAAGTAGAGTAGGGACAGAAAAGATACCAAGATCAGAATCAGGGACCAAAGGAGAAGAGCCAGAAACGAACGGAGCCATACCCGAGAAGTCAGGAGGAGCAGCCGGACGATCCGCAGAAGAGAGAAGAGAACCATCATACACCTTCGCCAGATGGGCAGCCATAGTGTTAACTGCTGACTGTGGACCATCAGGGTGGGTATATGAGGCAGAGACTAGTTTACGACGCTTGAGCCGAGCCATGGTAGCAGTAGCCTTGGAAAGTTCTTTTCAAGAGAAGCACAAAAGTTCTTCCAAGAGAGACGCTTAGCAGCAGCAACAGAACGACGAAAGGAACGATGAGCATCTTGGTATAGGGTCCACCAGTAAGCTTTGTCAACTCCTACGGAGTGACGCCACATACGGTAACGCCTATCTCGCTCACGAGCAGCAGCCTCAAGATCAGCAGTCCAGTACTTATGCCAGTGACCAGGACGAGCAGCCTTTTGACCAATGGAGTCATCAAGAGCACGATAGAAACACTCGTTGAGGGAATCATTGAGCGAGTCTATCGGCGGACGAACACCAGGAGGAGAAGAAACCAAGCCATCAAGGGTAACCTGTAAAGGAGCCACAAGAGACCGGAAACGAGATTGATACAGGAGCAAGGGATCCACTTCATTCAACCGGGAAAGATTCCACAATCGACGAGGGGCCAAGACACCAGAAGAAGGAGCAGAGTGGAGAGGAGGAATGTACCCAAAGGAAAGAAACATCAGACGATGGTCAGAACCAAGGGACAAGTCAGACTCAACCACCAGAGAAGGAGAGACCATACCAGAGGCAGGAATGTTGGTGATGAACAGGTCAATAATGCTACTAACCTCTACATTACGCCGAAACGTTGTAAAGGTAGCAACACCATGAGCAAGTTCAGAGTTAAGGACCCGGAGGGAACGTTCTTCAAGCCAAGGCAAGAGAGACCGACCACGGGGATTGACCACCAGATCACCTGTGAGAGCACCAAGACGAGCATTGAAGTCACCACAGAGAACGGTATCAGAGGAGAAAGGAGAGAGTTAAGAACGGAGAACACCAGTTCATTAGGAGACTGGGTGGAAGATAGAGACAATGAACAGTGACTTTACCAATTTTCATGGACAAAGTATGGGCATTATAGGACGGAAGTTGATGGACAGGAAAGGGACAAGAAGGAGAGACAAGGCAACAGATACCTGCAGAACCACGACCATTAGCATTAGCAACGGGTTTACCATACAAGTGATATTGAGACCAGTTTGTAGGCAGGAGACCAGAAGTAAGCCAGGATTCAGTGATAAAGAGGACATCAGAGCAAAGAGAATGAGATAAGACATCATGGACGGTGGTGGCACGAAGACCATTTGCATTCCATAACGCTATATTAAAGGAAAGGACTGGGTTAGTAGTAGCATCATTATGAATATAAGAAGAAGGAACGGAAGGTGGGGGTATACTTAGATGAGGTGAGAAGATGGAGTCATTAAAGATCCATATCTTCAGCCTCGGAAGCAGAAGAGTCACTTTCTTCAGACGAAGAGGGAACACCACGGAACATAAAGGTAGCCTTCTTGGGACTAACCTCAGCAAGGCGACGACGAGCAACACGGAGAGCAGACTGAAGATCAGATTCATCGATCCACCCCTTCTCAACGAAGGAGCGACCGACGGCAGCAACAGAAACAGGACGAACAAAGGAAAGAGTATTGATGGCACGCTTGTGTACCAAGGAGAAAATTTCTTGGGCACGGGAGGCCTCAGAGAGAGAGTTGTACTTGGGATCAGCCAAGTGAGCAGGGTCAAGAGGGT